AATGCTTTATTAGTAAAGATGACCTTCAAAATATATTTTAAAAATCAGGTTGATGCCTTTTTCAGATTCTTGGGGCATGAAGAAATTGTGAAAGGATTTTGTGGTTAAAGTCTGTTCTCTCCCATCCAGCCAACTAACTACATTGTGAATGCCAACTGCTGAAGGAATAGAGTAACTAAATCTTACTAATATTTTTGACAAAGGACATATTTGTAAGTCACCAATGTTAAATAAAGTTGGTGAAAAGAATAGCCATCTGACTGAAAACCTCCAACCTCTGCTGGTCAACTTCTACTTTCTCCGTGCTTGTAACCGTAGTGTCATCATTGCTCTCTAGGTAGGAGACAAAAATGTCCTGAATTTCTCTAGTATAAGAAGCTAATAAAATGGTGATTAATATTAGGAAGCAGAATTGTTAAAACCTCAGCTAAATAAAAAGGGCAGAAGGAAAATTGTAACAAATATGAAGGAAAAGTATACCTTTACATAAGATTCAAATATGTCCACCCTTTCCAATGAGGGCATAAAAACCACACACGCACACAAAAAAAAGCCCCCTAATTTTACATTTCTTTATTTCTAAAGGCTAAAAAGAGAAACAAAAAGCAAAGAAAGAATCCCAAACTTTCTGGGCCTTGTCTACACACCATATATAAGCAGACTACTGAAAAAGTCACTCTGAAGCATACCTAGTATTTTTATATTTCTAATCTCAATTGGAAGCATTAAGGGAAAAAAAGTTACATTCATGCCAAAAAAGTTATTTTTCAAAAAGTAAAACAGAAAATCCACCTACAGTGAAGTCAACCAAAAATAAAACTATATGCCAATGTAAATATACTGAAAAATAGAAATTAACACCACTGAAAGGGAGCCTAAAGTGCAACTGAACCAGGGGTGGTCAGCCTGAAGCCCAAGTGCTACAAGTGGCATGACCAGTCTCTGTGCCTGGCACCCGGCAGATCAACACAGCAGCTGCTGATAGGGCAGGAAACAGAAAGCTGAGGAGATCAGGCAGGAAGCAGAAAACAGAGGAGATTGGGCCAGGAGTACAGAATAGGGAACAGAAAGCAGAGCAGCAGACTGGGCAGACGAAGGGGATCCAAATGGCACTTAGGGAGGGTGCAGAGCTAATTTGTGGCACACCTCCCAAAAAAGGTCAGTCCCCACTGAACTAAACAATTACAAGCAAATATGTTTTTAAGTAGCACATCAAAAAGGTCTCTTTGAGATACCAGGTGATCCACTAGAAATTTAGGGAAGAGACCCCCACCCTTCCTTCCAACAATTCTCTACAAAATGGTCTAACATGGGTGCTCAATCCCTGGCTTGCTGGCTAGATCTGACCCTTGGCAGTACGTCATCCATCCCACGGAGCATCCCATGATAGATTAGGTGTGGAGGTCAGTGCCAAGCCTGATCTCAGCCTATGCGATCAAGCAGAGGTGGCCCAGGGCCCCCAGAGCCCAATCCCAGTGGTGAGAATAATCCAGTCCATGGACCTGCCCTGCAACCTTCATTTGCCCGCAGGGCCGGGAAGTTGAGCGTTATTGGTCTAACATATTGTCTATTTGTGTACTATGGCATGTTATTATTAGGGTATTACATGTAATCAAGGCACTGAAACCATGTGTACATAGTTACTGTAGACTGGTGAAGCTAACATCTAAATGTGCAAAGATGGGTACAAGGATATAGATGTAATTACATTGTAATTTTTGTTCCAGTGACCAAGAACTACTAAATTCTTCAAAACTGCAATCCTTACGTAGCAAAACCCCCCAGTTTTTCTTTTAAAATGCATTCCCCCCCCTGCCCCAACCATTTCTGATTTTTTCTTTCCCTCTCTAATCCCTATAGATAAGTATAAGTGAGCTAAGACATAGGATAAGCTTCAGCATTTTATTTTGGTAGCAAGTTGCATTTCTTTTGTTTTTTCTCTTCCTTTATATTGTATAATGATTATGTTTATATTGATTTTTACTGTTCTATATTACTGTTTTACTGGTACTATATGATTTAGGCCTACATATGTAAATTAGCATAAGTCTTGTCAAGTTTCCATTTTGCTTGTCAAGTCTCCATCCTGTCCCCAGGCCCGGTTGTATAACCCATGACTCACACCTACCCCTCCTATGTAACTTGGTTCCTGAATGAATGGGGATGAATGAGCGTGCTTGAGAGAGAGTGGCAGTAAGTCTAAAAATAGCTCCCTCTGAATGACCAAACCATCAACACCAATACCCGGACCAAGGACCGGGCCCTTGGAACCACCCTCAGCATTCAAGAAACAAAAGATGAGGCAACCCACCATTGTGCAAAGGCTGCACATGCTCTGTAAGAACACCTGGAGCCCTCTGGAACAGGACTCACCTTGCCTGGACAGGCCCTCCCCATAGGAGATCAGAGGTAGTCTGCCCCATAAAAAGGGGTAGTGAAGACTGACTCCTTGGGACGCCCTCTCCATCTGGACCAGCACCATGCCACACCACCTATCCACCCAGAGGCCCTGCTGGCGACCCCCCTCTGGACAACACCTACTGGACAGGGACCCCTTTCCAGCCTGGAGAGGTGACTATCACCCCCTACCCCTTCTTCAACCAAGGACTTGCACTCTGCTTCTCTTCCATACTTGGACTCCAGCCCTTCCACTGAGTCTCTTTCTCCTGCTGCCAATGCGAGTCAGTGCGTGTGTGAGTGAGTGCATGTGTGAACTAATAACTTCATGGGGCTGTGTAGTGTGTTGTCTGTGTAATAAAACTGTTATTTGGACCCCTGAGTTGGGTTTTGCTTTATTATGGTTTGGCCCTGTGCTCCAATCTCTGCTCCTCGCCCCTCTAACTTCTGTCTCATTTCTCCCTCTCCTGCTTCTGGCTCACTGCCACCTCCAACACCTGTGCTGAGCTCCTCTCTGCCTCCAAACCCCATGTTTCTTTGCCCCACTGCCTTTTCCTTTTCCCCTGAGCAACCAGGTTTCTGCCTCAGTTTCTTTCCTGGCTGTCTCCTCCTTGCCACCACTTATCTGCACCCCCTGCCCCCCAATATCTCAGCTATCTGCCTCAGTTTCCAGCTCCAGTCTACATTAAGTAATCCCAAGCCTCAGTTCCTCAGCCAGCTTCTCTGTAGTCCACCAGTTCTAATGCTGGTTCTGGGAACTTTCACTCCCTACACTAACTCTCTCTCTCTCACCTGAACCTTCCCCCAAGTATCCCAGGTACCCCAAGCACACACATACACACTGTACCATCCAAGTTAGGAACTTGCATGCGTGTGTGTGTGTGGTATTGTGTGCATGATATATGAATTAGTACTCCTCCTGCTACCTGGAGGAGTAGTACCATACATATATTTTAGCATGCCTTCAGCATTATTGCATGAGTAGCTAAACTGAATGTACCAAATGAATTCATCCAAAGTGGCCAACTGATGCACTCAATATTATCATGGGAAGAAACTTTGTTTTGCCAGCACAACCTTCAAAAAGCCCATATTCAGTGCTTCTCTATCTACATTCAAGTAAATATGTTTTGGTTTTGACTCTTCTCCCTCAAACCTAGAACTCCAAAAAGGTGTTATTTCTGTCCAAAACCTCCAGTCTTCACAGATTTAAAGTTGGCAAATAACATATTTCTTTTCCGGCATACATGTGTAGATGACATACATCAAATCTAGCACCCAGAAAGCTAGTTCTTAACTTCTAATTAACCTTCTTTGCCATGACAACCTGAAATTCCTTTCTACAATAAAAAGAAAAATGCAGAGACAGTAAAAATCATTTTTGATTATTGTCAAACCATACAAAATGGGTCACACTCTACAAGTTTCCCTCTTCTAAAAAAAAAAAATAAAAAAAAATAAAGTGTGTTCAAAATATAAATCCACAACAGTGTGTAGTTCTTACAGACACCACTTTTCTTTCCTGTATGATGACAAATTTGTTAGACTTAAACCAAAATAACAGTAGACCATCTTCTCTGCACTGATACCATTTTGTACACTTTTTTCTTTAGACTTAAATGTCACGCACACTGAAAATATCTAACATGCCTAAAACTGTTACATACTGTTCTCTAGGAATGATTATAATTATTATTAACTTATTCTAGTAGTTTTTATACATAGCACCCTTCCTTCTCAAGTCTCAAGGCATCGTTCCAAAGATAACTAGCTGATAGTAACGCACTGATTCTGATCGAAATCAATAACTACATATTTAGCAACAGCACCTAGAACTTGTGGCCTCGCCCCCCCCCCCCCCCGGGCCCACAC